GAGAGATGTGGGTGGGGGAGGGGGTGGAGGATAAATAACGAAGAAGAAAAGAAGTAATAGATGTTGAGAGGGAGCATTGTAAAAGCAAGCAGGGAGTGGAAACAAAGCGCGGATCGGCTGAGGGGGGGGGGNTTTAGTCACCGCGCGACGGCTACCTTAGCGTGAGCGGATTATTAAAATGGCTCTCGCTCTTTTTTTTTTTTTTAATGATCGACGAAGGGGTCATTACCAGGGGTAGAGCGGGGGTAGGTGGCATCGTTATTTTTAACTATTTTCTTTTTTTTTTTTTTTTCTCTCTCTCCCCTTCGCTTCCCTGGGTTTTTAAGCGCGAGTTTTGAATAATAATGCAGATGACAATCTTTCATCACATATACATCTGTTCACGAGTGCGCCAGTGTGTGCGTACAAAGGAGTATAATGGAGCGAAAAGAAGAAGAAGAAGAATACGTGGATCGTGGTGGTGTACATGTACGGAGTAGTTGGGGTATTAAGTGCATTGACGTCGCTCTTGCTCGTTTAGTTTCGTATATTAATATATTTCTTTTATTTGTATACTCAACATTTCCTCCCTTTCTCTCTGTTTTTTTTTTTCCTTTTTCTTTTTTTTTTTTTTTTCATCACCTGAACACAGTTATTATATACACTTAATAGTATACCTATATACTCGCGAAATCGATCGGCAATATGAATAATAATTTTTCACCATCGCACTCACAATATATTATACTTATGCATGTAACTTATACAAATAAACCACAATGTGTGAAGATGCGAGCGAATAAATGCGCTTTGCCGTGGCGTTACAGTTGTTTCTTTCGCTTCGATCGCGCCAACATCGGTCGTGTCGGATAAATAAATCGCGGGACGAATCGTTGGGCGCAAAAACGCGCAGATACACATGTATACGTATGTGGAAAGAAAAGAGAGAGAGAAAAAGACGAAGGGGAGAAAAGTTAGACACTGCAGAGGACGCAGGAAAGAGACGGGGAAAGAAAATTAATGATAACGATAAAGGTCAATGAAAATAATTGATCGAACGTGTAATACGTGATACAGAGAAAGCTTTTGTAAATATCGAGGCGCGGCAGTGGCAGTAGGGGTGTGTGGTAAGGGGGGAGCCGTATGGGTCCGTCCCCCTCGTCACTCCATCACTCGGTGATGTGTGCATATCCGTGCAAGCCCTCGCACGTGCGTAAACACACCGACCATCAGTCGTTGAACTTTATAAATGTATATATTATATATACACACAGATACACAGACTTGTATTATATAGATACACGTAAAAGTGGGGAGAAACGAGCAAAAGCACATTGTATATACGTACACGAGATATATGTATATATATAAATGTAATACGATAGAGAGTGTATATAAAGAGACAATTGTGGAAAAATCTCGATAGCGTATGCTGTAAGTATATTTGCTTTTATATATAGTTACAGTGGCAGTAGCAGTAGTGGTAGCATAATAGTAACAACAGCATCCGTATAGATGTACAGCGGTAGAAGAAAGATTGTGGGCACACACGAGTGTCGCGTGAGCTCACGATGTGTACGAAACGCGCGCATATATATATATAAATAATTATCGCAGAGAACATCGTATAAAAGTACAAAAAAGGAAAATTGTAGGAAAAAAATGAAGAAAGAAAAAAAAAAGCAGGAATCGCGCGCAATCGTCGGGTATCGTAGCGTATACGCACAAAAATATTGATGCATACACCTAAAAGCGCGTAAGCTCGCGCTCGCAATAATATATATATATACACATGTAGACCGGCAATATACGCGCTCGTACGTATTTGACACACACACACAACATATGCATAGCCGGAGATCGCTTGTGTAATATGCGGGAAACGAAATTCGCAGGCCAGAGATGAAAAGCGCGCTCAGGGAAATTGAGAGAGAGAGAGCGAGCAAACGAGTGGAGCTTGCGAGCGTGAAACTGCAGATATACGTATATATGATGCAGCTGTACTATCAAGAGCTCGCGCGAGGCTGTGAAACGACACGCCGAGGAGCTGTATACCTACCCCCCTTTTACCTCGCGCATACGTATATTCATATAGGTACATCTATAATAATAATAATATATGCGCGTGACGAGGAAGAGAGAGAGAACGAGAAACGAAAGAGAGAGAGAGCGAGGGAATGTAACCGCGGGGGCGTCATATACGCCCAAAGGGCAAACTATATATATGTATCACATTCACATTTTTTTTTTTTTTTCCTTCCGCACGCATCTTCGCTCTCTCTCCCTCTACCTCTTGAGTAATGTATATATATCACATGGACTGCCACGCTCGGGGGCTCTCCTCCTCCTTCTTTTCGCCTTTTTCTTAATGAAACTTAATTAATCCTCGCCCTCTCTCTCTTTCACCTCCGGTCCCTCGCTCTCAGTCACTCGGTTGAAAAAATAAACGCGCGCGCGCGTACGTTATACCACGTACGAGGGGTATACACGTGCTTTTCGCGCTCACAAACTCTCGCTCTCTTTCTTCCTTTTACTCCACTCTTTTTTTTTTTTTTCTTTTTTTTCCTCCCCCCACGTACGTTTTTAGCGCGCATACGCACATCATGCATACAAACAAACATCCAAGCACACCTTGTTGTACTCTGCGTGCAACGCTCCCCGAAGTAGACCATTAACGCGGAGCCTCCTGCGCCCCTCGCCGCCCTTCCTGCTACTACTTCATTCACGGACTCGGCTCTCGCTCGTTGCGCTGCTTAAAACTTAAACGGCCCGTGCTTTTAGTTCCCCGTATACATTCATAATATGCACGTGTAGCCTATACGTGTACGCGCGTGTCATATTATATATATATATATAAGTACTCGCAATCTCGGCCTTCCACCCCCAGGGGCTCTCGCGCGCGTATATGGGTTTTGGTATTATTTTTTTTTTTTTTTTTTTTTTTTTTTTTTTTTTTTGTCCCTCCTATCCTTCCTTCTCCGCTCTTTCATACACTGCACGCGCAACGCACATAAGATAATAAACCCTCTCTCCCGCAACTCTCGATATACATACGATTATATCCGTCCACAACACTCGGCTCCATTACTCGCTATATATGCGCCAACTAACGCTTGTTTTTTTTTCTCCCTCCCTCCTTCGCTTTTATCCATCATCTCGGCTCTAAACCCCTATAGCTCGTCGTTCTCTTTTTTCTTTCCACACAGATAAACGTATACATTTTTATTTAACTTTTTTTTTCTTTTTTTTTTTTTTTTTCCTATTTGTTACGTAATCGTCATCGATCCCGTCATCATACGATATTTATTTTTATTTTTATATCCATTAATCATCTATTTTTTTTATACTTCTCGTGCGTACGTGTGAATGTGTACATAATTATTTTCATGTATTTAAATATCTATATTCCATATTTATTTATTCAACATATCGATCAGTAATAATAATAATAATATCGTTACTGTTACGATATTTTATACATAATAGGCATAGCCACTCGTGCTCGGATCACAGACTTACTAGCTGCCGCGCGCTCATACGATACCTATACATATATAGGTACGTGCGCGCACGGACAGTTCCGTTGGACACTATGGCTCTTTTGTTTCTTCCCTCAGCTTTGTGGGTTTAATTTTTTGTCCCTCCGTTTATATCCTCCTCCCTTTTAATCAGTCCCTCCCCATCGCGTACACGACAAACAAACAAACACTCGCTCGCTCACGCGCGGACGATTGAACGAACAGGGGAACCGTTTGCGCGATCGCACTCGACTTGGGCTTAATTAAAAGCAATAGTAATGAAAAACAAAGAAAACAAAAACAAACACAAATTAATAAAAAAAAAACCAAGGAACGATGTAGCACGGGCCAAAAAATAACGTGCGCATCCGTCTGTGTCTCTCCTGTCATTCTACGTGTACGCGCTGGTAGAGCACACGAGGAGCTTACGAGCGCGCTGATAAAAAAAAAAAAAAAAAAAAAAAAAAAAACTAACGAGTGGAGCAGAAGCGACAAACATCCCCCTTTCGTCGGTGTCGTCCCTCGACGGCGCTCCGTTATAACACCGGGCGGGTCGACGACGCAGCTGGTACCTACGTGTATATACTATATACACACGCTCGCTCTTCCGATAATTACGTACAAATCCATCTCCCGCGCGTCCCTCTCTCCTCTCCTAGCTGTCTCTCATCCGACATACACGCACACGCACGCTTACACCGTATATATACGCAAGACTTTTCGCATGTGCACAATCGCGCAGCTAAAATTACGCCGTTCCATTATCATCGTCATCATTCTCCTTTCTAAATATGATTTGGCGCTTCATTTTTTTTTTTTTTTTTTCCCCACTTCCTCATCTCGCTCATCTCGCACGATAATTACACACCCACGCACGCTCACACTTTGCGTTGATTTTCATCAAAGACGGAAAACACTGTGCTTTCGTGTTGTATATATGTATGTATATGTATATATATTTATTTTTCGAACTTAATACCAAAGGCTACGCTAATCGCTGCAACCGTAAATCATGTGTTATAAATTGTTGATATACTTAATTTCGGCAGCTGCAGCGACGCACGAGTGTTTCGTTTTTTCTTCTTCGCCCATCGCGTTTGTACAATATATATATGTGTGTATATCTCTCCACTCGGCGCTATAGGGCCGCGTTCATATCCATTACACGCACATACAATATTTCACTACAAGGACAAATATATATATATATACCTCCGGATAGCACTTCAACAACGAAGGCCGTCAGGGGCAGGGGGGGGGAGTAAAAATATCGCGGCAGCGGGAGGAGGCACACTAGGACTCAGTGACGATGAGACGTGTATAATAATAATAATAATATTAATATAATAACGGTATGGCTCAGTGAAAGAGCGAGGCCGGCTCGCGAAGGACGGCGTGTCTGTTGAAGAGGAAAGAAGCCGGCCCGTAGTAGCCGATGTAGTCGCCGTTACCGTCGTCGTTGTCGTCCTCCTCGAGGTCGCGCACCTTGGCTCGGTGTTGCTGTCAGCAGGCGCTCGTCTCCTCGCCCTCGAGGGTGCACGCGACGTTCTCGAGCCGATGGGCCAGGTGGAGCTTCCGGCAGGCTGGATCTGTTTCCAGAGTCTCGAGGATCTGCGAGCACAAAGAAGAGGGGAAAAAAAAAATAATAATAATAATAAATGATTTGCGGGCGCGTTGTTTAGTTTGGGGGAGGGGGGAAGCTTGCTTTTTTTTTCATCGAGTAATTAAACGGCTCGGCGGAGCCTTTTTTTGCCGGGGGAGGGTGGTTTCGCCCCACAGAATTTCATCGATATCGGGCAATATTTCTTTTCTCCGTTGAGGAGCCCAAGCACGTGATGTGATGAACTGTGGCGTACAACTGTAGGTGTATATATAGTCACACGCAGACGGGAGCATCGGATACTCGGGTTATCGAATTTTTCCGCGTTTTTAATATTCGCGGAGGTAATCTCCGAGCTGGAAGGGAGCTGATAAACATTCCGGACGCGGTATAATACACGGTATCATCGGTTCATCTTTCATTACTGTAATGGTCATTTTTTTCGTGGGGGAGGGATGATTATTTTTGGAAATTCTTGATCTTGGAAGGGTCGGAACGTTAATCTCATTCATTTTCCTCCTTTTACGGTTAAATAATCGGTACTGTCGATTGGGACAGAAATAAATCCACTCGATTGCCGATTAAGAACTCGTTCACAGATGAAAATGTTTTCTGTGCAAAAGTATTAATTTGACTGGTGAGAGTGAGAAAAAAAAAATCTTGAAAAAGTTCTACAACTTTTGCTCGTTGACAAAACGGTTGTGTAAAGTGTCAAAGAGAAAAGTTACAGCGAAAAAGAGGAGTATAGTGAGAGTATGGACAATCTGTTGCACTTTTATACAATTTTTTAAAATAAATGAACCATCATCCTGTTACAGTTGGATCAACAAAAACTTAATTTACTTGAATTATGGCCTGGAAAGTTTCTTACGCGTACAGAGCGTTGATTATACCCTCGTAACGTTATGCCCTTTGAAAAAAAAAAAAAAAAAAAAAAAAAAAAAAAAAAAAAAAAAACCGATGCTTTACATTAATTTCTCTTCCCAGAACAGATTCAGATTGAACAACTTTGGTAAAGTTGCGATAATTAAGTGCGCGCGGTATTTTACTCGAACGCTTCTATTTTAAATATTCCAATGGTTTTTATTATTTAAATGAATCGCGAATGGCTCGATACGTTTCCAGGACGAATAGGTACTATTTTTATCCGACAATAATAATTCAAAGTTTTATTTGCCGAAGGAAGGGAGAGGAAAAAAAACCTTTTTAGTTAACTATAATTAAAAACCCTGCTTGTTTTGCCTAGCCGTTACAAGCTCATTTACAACACCATTTGGCTAACATCGTTACAGGAATAAAAAAAAAGGGAATTTGATCATCACTCGATTAAAAAACCCACCTCCAGCTGTATTCATTTTTCACTCGAAAATTGTATTTTAATAAAATCCGCGCCCGCGAAACGAGCGAGTTCTCGACTCTCACGGATATTAAAGTTTCATCACCCGATACCGAAAATCCAGATTATGATATACATGTATACTCTCTCTCTCTCTTGCGCTTCAATTTACAATGCGCTCTTCGTTCCCGAAACCCCGAAATGGAGTTCGCTGCAACTTTTTTCCACCCAATAGTCCGCGCACTTAAAAGTGTACAGCCCAAATAAAAAACCCCGCCACGTTATCGCTCCTCGAAACCAAAAAAAGAAGAAAACTAGCGAAAAGGATCCTCTTTTTGCGATTTTTCCGAAAAACCAATAAAAAAAAAAAAAAAAAAAAAGGTACAGCAATAGCACCAACTGCACACGCTACGGCGTACACTAGATTCATGCGGATCGCAAAAATAACACACCAAGTGACACGAATACTTGCTGCCCATACGACAAGCCGTACAAAAATAGAGAGCACCTCGGTGGAATCGAGTTTTAATATTACAGCAGTAGCCGTACACCCGATCTATACCATCATCCACAAAACAACGAACAACAAATACACCAACAACAATATTTACGCGATCGACCGACACAGCTTGTCATGGAAACCACGGGTGCCACGACCCCCTCGTGCTCTACATTATTTTAATTGTGCGCGCTCGACGAGACGCGAACAAATGGGTATCTCTATGGAGTCTTCTTTTTTTTTTTCTTTTTTTTTTCCTTTCGTTCCATCGGGGCAAGAAATAACAAGACGCCGGAAGAGCGCACGAATAACCGGAGAGAGAATACACACGGTATGTGTACACTCGAAACGAGGGAGGATCTCGGTGAATGGGGGGGTAAAGTCAGGGGTCACGGGTCGAGGTTTCCGGTCTGTTGGGCGGGCAATTAAGCCGCCGCGAGTGTCGCCGATGTACATACACGAGTGAGTTGTTACCCGAAGGAGTCGATCGTCGATGGACCTTTTAAAATTTGCGACGATTGCGTGCATGGGTATATATCGCACGCCCCTCTCTCGTACGGTGCAGTGGGCGTATCAGCGCGTCGGAGGGGACGGTGCGTAATAGCTTTAATTGGCGCCCGAGTCGTAATTAAATCAAAAATCCGATAACTAATTTGATTAACCCGCCGTTTGAGAGCACCACCGGCCAACATATTATTATTGTCGTCGCTGGCGCGCGAAATACGTTGTTTTTTGTTTTCTTTTTTTACCCCCGCAGTGCCTGTTCCCCGGAATGTCCATGTCGATTACGCTGGTAATGTGATTTTGAGCGCGGAAAATTCGAGCGGGTGCGCGCGTGCAAGGTACTTGTATGTGTTTTCGAATTTGAAATTAATTCAGGCCGACGTTCGTTTTGGGCGCGCCTATAATTATATCGTCGAAAACTCATCAATTTCCGATTATGGTAAAAATCGTAATTTAGGGCCATACGGGGTGTTCACGCGAGCGACGATTTAGTCACCGCGCGACGGCTACCTTAGCGTGAGCGGATTATTAAAATGGCTCTCGCTCTTTTTTTTTTTTTTAATGATCGACGAAGGGGTCATTACCAGGGGTAGAGCGGGGGTAGGTGGCATCGTTATTTTTAACTATTTTCTTTTTTTTTTTTTTTTCTCTCTCTCCCCTTCGCTTCCCTGGGTTTTTAAGCGCGAGTTTTGAATAATAATGCAGATGACAATCTGCGCGCTTTCCAATGAAACTTTATTACTGTTATTTTTTTTTTCCTTTTTTTTCATCCCGACTCTATTATTCGGATTATTTCCCGAGCTAGCGAAAAGGGGTGGGGGTGGGAGGTAGAAATCCGGGGGACGAAAATACACGAGTTAACAATCGTATTACATTACAGAGAGAAAGAAGGGGGGGGGGGAAGAAAACGCGATCAACGAGCTTGAAATATTAAAGATTTTTCCCTCGAAGCTTTTTTCGCAATCTCATCCATTGTAGCATAAATGTTTCGTCGTCGTCGTCGCTCTGCACCGAACAATGGCCATTTATAATTCACGTACAGCGTATGAATACAGAGGGACAATCAGAACGCGTAATACAGTATAGGGCTCATTGTGCCCGCGAGATGATCGACCGATTTTTTTTTTTTTTTTTTTTCCCCTCGCATTCGGCAAACGGACAATTATCCCATTAGCGCCAAAGGCGAAGGAGGAAAAACCGTGCAATTGCATATTTCATGTTGGCGCTTCATTGTTCGCCCCGTATTGTTAAGTAACAAAAAAAGCCGACACGCAAAAACGCCGAACCGGGAGTATGATAATTGAAATGATGGGAAAGAAAGGTCCGTCGCTCACCTCCCCGTAGTACTTGCTGACGTAGATGTAGAGCTCTTTGAGGGCCGCTATGACGTCAAACTCGTTGGCGTGCGAGGAGCTGAGTTGCTGCATGGCGCTCGACATCTCCTGATCCGTGATCTGCGGCAACCGCTGGACCTCGGCGTAAAACCGTCCCACCTTTTCCCGGTAATGGGGAATGTCCTTGGCGAACAGTAACTTGTTCGAGGGCGAGTCCTTGCCGAGCCTGTGCTCGCACGTCGAGCACGCGTCCATGAACGTCTGGGCGATGACCGACAGGCTCGAGTCCACGGTGCTCGACTTGTTGATGTCGAACATAAAGTCTGGATTCTTGATAAAGTTCACCCAGAAGCGCAGGGGCAGGCTGTTGGATTTCCACGCGTGCGGCACCTCCGGGTCGAGGATCCCGTGCTTGAGGGCCGCCTCGTCCAACAGGTCGAAGAGCCACTTGACCGCGCTCGGCAGGGCCTCGTTAGCCGTGAGAATCGTGTTGAGAAAGTCGTCGACGAACTTTTGCACGGTCCCCTTTGTCGAGAGCAATCGCGTGAGAAAGATTTCGGGTATGGCTTTGTGCGTCCGCTCGAGGTGCAGGCCCGGGGGTAGTTTGCCGCTCGCGAATCCCATGCCCGTCGTCGCGTATTGGCTGTCCTCTATCGGCCTCACCTGCAACAGAGAAAAACACACAAACCGACTCTCCAGTTTATCCGATGCTTTTCAAAGGGCCGTGTGTCAACGAAAAATATGTATACATACACTTTAAAAGGAATTCGCGTTTTTAATAGAAAAAACTTTTTGGCAAAAATATCTTACTCATAGGTTCGGTTTTAATTAATATCGTGGTGCGTTGAAATTTTAATTAAAAATTTTCTCGTGTGCTCTTGATTAAATGTTACAAAAACAAAAAAAAAATAAATGAAAAATAACGGAAGAATTGCCCGGAAAAATTGATGCCCACCCCTTCCTTGTCGTCCGCAAAAGAGCGTTGACGAGAGAAAGGGGATTTACTTCTTTTTTTTTTTTT